TTCCTTGCTTTCCATATTTCCCAAAGGATGTACACAGTAAGTTGAAGCCTATCATTAGAAGTGGAAGAGTGGTTGAGGGAGCAGATTTGAGTCCACCATTCTTTGAATGAAGAAGTGTCTAAAGATTGACCATCCCAGCTTAATGGTGACAATTTTCAGACAACAATAGAGACAGGGCAATTCAAAAGAATGTGTTCTATTGTTTCCACATCTTCACCACAGCATTTACAAGTTGTGTCTAGGGCTATTTTTCTTCTCCACAGGTTGCCAGTTACAGGAAGTGTGTTAGACACACATTTCCAGAGGAAGTGCTTCAGTTTCCCTTGGATGAGAGACCAACTTCTCTTCCTCATCCCAGTTACTGCTTTCTGATCTTTACTGCTCTCTGTCAGGTCAAGAGTATTCAATTTATCTTTCATTAAGCTTGAGTAAACAGAAGAGACAGATAGAGGTTTACTTTTGCCATCACTATACCACACAAGCCTGTCCTCACCATTAGGATCAAGATCTTTGATTTGAAGGATGGCTTCAGATTCTCTGGGGGAAAAAATAGAATGAAGAGTGTCTATGTTCCATCTCCTTCCAGTCTCATCTATTAGCTCACTGACCCAGGTTAGGTTGCTCTGTCCTTGTGCACTTGTGACTTTAGTAATAGAGGGGATCCATGGTTGATTCCAGATGTTAATATTCCTCCCATTTTTGATATCAAATCTCAATCTTCCATGCTGATTGTTCTTCATCAGAGAGTCCCTTACCTCTAACCAGCAGTTCCATAACCAAGAGTTGTTCTGCTTTTTTTTAATGTTGAAGAAGCTATCACCCTGAAAGTACCTTGCCTTTAGAACTTTGCTGACCAAAAGGTTGGGGTTTGAAAGAATCCTCCCTATTTGCTTGGTGATGAGTGCTTTGTTCATGATGTGGATGTCTTGAAACCCCAAACCTCCTTGAGTCTTATGTAAGGTGATGATACTCCAAGGTTTCCAGTGGATGCTCTTCTTATGCTCACTGTTGCTCCACCAGAACTCTGCAACTGTTTGTCTATACTAGCTTTGATGGCTTTTGGAATCAAGAAGCAGGTCATTGAATAAATTGGCAAGGCATTCACCACAGATTTG